CATAAATAAATAAAATTACTATGAAATATATAGTAGAATTTACCTAAAAAAATATATATATAACATCAAACTCGAGCCTATTATTTCTTGGATAGAGCTTGGCTCAGCTCATTCAGAGTTTTAGATGCTATAAATAGAGAAAAGGCAAAAGAAGTGGTGTATAAAGTTCTAGCAATACTGTCCAAAGGGCTGATAATCATGTCTTTGGGTTAATGAAAACTATATATTGGATGGCCAAAAATGACATTCCATTGCATAAGTTTTCTAGTACAGTAAACCTTGATATGACATTAATTCACTTTACTTTATTTCTAACTCTAACTATAATTATCTAACTATAATTCTATTAATTATGAGAATTCTTGTTCTTTGTCATCAAATTTTGGAATCTACATCTTTATCAATAATTTGGAGAGAATTAGATGAAACATCATCTTTTGGGATGAAAGTACTGATATTGCTGCACAATCTCATTTGATTTCATATGTAGAATATTATTACAAAGGTATTTGAAGATGAAAATAATGTGGCATGGAAATGATGAAACTTGCATATTCAGTTGTTTCAGAGCTCGAAATTCGTTTTTTCCAATTTGTCATCTATTAGATGCTATGGAAATTTTTAGTGCACTAGAATGGCCACCGAATTAGAGGTTACACACAATGAATATTATTCATTGAATATTCATTCAGTTAATTGGATATTTAATTTTTTCATTGATTACCAAATATAAATAAATTAAAAATTAAAAGTGAATATCAACATCTCATGTGAAATCACATGTCCAAATAAAGCGAACGTAAGTAAAGACATGGTTTAAATTAATCAGTTAATTGATTAATAACCTTAATCGGTTAATCATTTCTAAAATTAACTGGTTAACCGAATAACTCTTTCTATTCAATCTTTCCATTAACTAGACTGGAAAAATGATCGATCTCGTTTAATTAATCGGTTTATTCATTTCTAATTAATTAAAAAATTAATTATTTCTTTTCCATTCATTTAAAATGGAAGTAGAACATTCAGTTGCTATATTAGGAAAAGTAATAATACAATAATGCTGCTCATATTTTAAAGGGTGGTTCTAAGAAGTCAAATTGGATAATGAAAGATGATCCATTCTAATAAAAATAGGTCTCCCGTTTTGTCTAAACACTTGTGTGGACCTGAAACGTCCGCTCCGAGTGAGAGAGATTAGTTAGTCAAGCCGGAATTCAAAAAAGAACAAAATTTAATCCACTATGATTTTTTCGTTTTATATTCATTCAATCAATTAAATTCATTATCCGGATAATCATTTGGTGAATAATTAAAATATTCATTGATTATCCAGTGAGTAATTAACAAAAAATTTTAAACCTATTAATCATTTTATATTCTGTCGACTTATAGTGCGAATGATGGATGATTTTGGTGAACCAATTATTCACCTTCACAGTTTTATCCTAACATTGTAAAACTTTAGATATTTTTTTATTCAATCAGTTTTTCAAGCGTTGAATGACAAAATTTGATTAAAACAGATAACGAATTGAATGTGTTCATGGTGATCAGACTATAAGGTGGCGATATTGAAACTTTTGATTTTTCAGAATCCAGATAGTAAATATATAAAAAGAATTTCCGATAAAATTTTGACTAGCCAGTTTTTAACTGGAAAAATTGAAGAGCAAATCTTTTTAACCTTGCAATCAATTATTGGATTAATTTCTTTCTACACGAACTAGAAACCAACAAGTAATGGTGGTGTGTGATATTTTATTCCTGTATTTCAAAATTCGGCGTAGCGAAAATTTCAAAAAATATTTTTTTCGTGATTTTTTTTGGTAAAGAACAAAAAAATTGTACAAGGGGTCATGATTTAATGCGGGGGTCAATGAATGAGTATCATGTCAAAAGTTGTTTCAAAGATAGCTAATACTAAAACTAGTAATAGCCCAATTTTTTTAAATATTTCAAGATCTTAAAAACTTGGAAGCATCAACGGGGGATACTAAAAGGTCAAAGAAAAATGCACGTTTATCACAGGGCCAAGCAGTTTCTTGGATAATCATGTTATCTTTTATTTTCAAGTAAAATAATAATAATCAGGATAAATTATCAGGACTCAACACCGCCACCACAAAGTAATAATATCTCCAAAATATAATAAACTACAGTAAAGAAGAAAAGGCAATAATATTGAATGAAAATGGGCTTTATTTTTCTTATCATATATAAAAGACAATGAATGCATTGAATATATGCTTATGATTAATATATTAAAAAAAAAGAAAATTACTAGCAATTTAATATTAGGCGTAGACGACTTACTTTTCCAAAACATGCATGCCTAAGATTTTATCTCTTGATTGCCGTGTGCATTACTCACATAACGCCTAGTCTTTAAGGGTTTACTGGAGATATCTTCCCATGAAAAAAAAAAAATTTTTTTTCTTTAAAGTCAAGTCTAAAAATCCCAATCTGTCTATATAAGCGAACTTCTGATTTTCTCAATGTCATTATATTCTTATCGGGAAGATACCTAAATAAACAATCTCAAAGGAACAGGCTCAATATTTAATGCTACTAATTTCTAAAACCTTAACAACCAATTCTGATAAATAACGCACCTCATTCATTATATAATATCGATTTAATGTTTTTCTCCCCATTTATTCGATTTTTGCAATAATTAGTTCTTTAAAAATTAGTATCATTATTCGTTCTATGTGACCAACTAATTTCAATATAACCTGAACCTATTAGAACTGAAAACTTTTTGTTTTAGAAGGTGACAAAGAAAAGAGAAAAGAATAAGGAAGTTTACTATTTGAAACCAAAATAGAAGAAAGCATGATTGACAAAAGATAATGTTTTAAGCCCTTTATTGAGTTTATACTTTTATTTGGCCACCAACAATGACAACAACAACAACAAACACACATTAACTATATTTTATATATCTGATGTAACAATTACACAAAACGACAGAAAAAGAATGATCATCAATCCCATAAATCAATCAATCGATTATTTAAATCTTTTTTTTTTTCTCATTAAAAAATATAACTTTTGTAAAAAATTAATTCCTTATGGCAAAAGTTGAAATTTTTAAAAAATTATGTGTTCAATCTTTTTTTTGCTTTCGAGGAAAATATTAAAAAATATCCGTATCAATCTATCATACTTGATTTAAAAGATTAAATTATGTGAGTATGGTTCGTCTTAACGGATACAAAAAAAATTACTTGCCGTCTTTCATTATCATCCAATTAAAAATAAGATTTTCAAAAAAAAAAATAAAAAGTTACAACTAAAGTGGCAAAATGTATTTATAGATGATTTCTTAACTAGGTGTAATTATTGTCATACGAACAAATAAAAATAAATTGTTATTATTATTCAAAACAAAGGATTGTTTTTCCAGAATAGGGTTTATCATTCGTTGCTGGAGTTTTTCCACTGCTGTGGCTATCATTGTTTTCTAACTTACTAATAAATAAATAAATAAATAAATCTAGACGGATCTTTAATAAATTAATAAGCAAGTTTGTTAGAATTAGTCAACTTACTTTGCCATAAAAAAAATTTTCGTAAGGAACTTCGATTAGGAAAAATATTTATTTACACGTTATGTAAAACCATCAGATGATCATTGCTTAATAAAGTTAGCCCCAATTCAAAAATTGTTTTGTTCCCAATTACGGTAATAACTTAAAGCAAACTAACTGTATCAGTGATGACGACGCGGCGACAATATAAGCACTGGTTCTAGAAGTTTACTTATAAAAGTCTTCATAAAAACCAAGCATTGAAAGTTTAGGTGTTGATTGGTTAGTATTATATTTCTATAAAGTTGACGAACTTGTAAACAAGACGGCATCTGATAGAAATCCCTAAAAAAAAACACAAATATGGAATCAATAACAGCGCAGTTGTGTACATAAGTCCATAAGTTTTTATAAAGTAAAGTTGCACAATGTAATTTTTTTTATTGATTTTCAGTCATTGTTCCCATGATTCCTTATTATTATTATTTTAAATTTGTGGAATTCTTATTTGATTATTTCTTACTTGAAATAGTAAAACCTAGAATTCTTTAAAAATTAATAATAATAAAAATGTAATTTTTTAACTGCCACAAAACATTGTCAAATATTGTAATTTTGTGTACATCGACTGACCCTCTCCATATTTGAAAATCACAACAACATCATATTACGTACCTACCGGAAATTGTGTTCCTTGATAATAGCAAGAGGACAATAGTGTTAAAGTGCTATATTGAAAACCTGCTTAATTGAATTAACTGTTGAAATTTAAAACTTTTGATGATCAATTAAACGAGTCTATTATATTTTCAGCAATTATTTGTTTTTCCTTTTTTATTATCGCAAATAATTCTCTTTTTGTTTTGCAAATTTATTTTTTGATTTGTTGTATACAAGCCATCAGATGTATGCGCATTCTCTTTTTTTTCTGCGTCAATATTCAAATACGTAAGTTATAACTTTATGTCGATCTTGGACAAAAACTTCACTCAATTACATTACAATACATTTACCCACAATGCTTTAACGATAATGAAAATTATCTCATTATTCTTGTTCTTCGCCATCACTTTTTAAAGAGTGAATTGTTTTTGATTATATGCTTTTGGTTGTTAATTTTAGAAAAATCCAAAACTGTATTCTGAAAATCTATTCGAATGTGGGAAAATCTTTATTTATAAGTAATTTTTGTAAAACACAATAAACACTGTTTTTCCGATTTTTTTACAAGTTAATTGAACTTTATAATAAAAAAAAAAAATATAAATAGTCCTTTAAAACATGAAACTCCAAAATCCTTGTATAAAATCACCTTTGTTCCTTATTTTTTTCGAAACTATAAAACATCACAAACACAAACAATAAATTTCTCGATAATCGTATCATCTCATTGTCATTACATAAACACATCGAAATATTTAAATCATAGTCATGCCAAAGTCGAGAAGAAACAATTATGTAACGATGAAATTCGCTCTCGATAATAGAAACGGTCGTAGTGGTGGTCCTTATAACAACCGACCTCCAACCACCACTAATAATAAAGACAATAATAATTTTAACATAGTCTTTTCTCTAAACGAAGGGGGGATCGACGACGACAAGTTGTTAGAAAATCCACCATATAAAATACATTTTTCTAGTATAGAGGAGCTTATTTCCCCATCTACAAAAAGCCGATCATATAACAAATCACAAAAAGATCCAACGGCAAAAATATATATTCCTAGGCCGCAAAACGAATTCATGCTCTTCAGAAAAAATTACAGCAAGGGCCTTAAAAATCAAAAAAAAAGCAATCGTACAGCCGGTAAAATTTCAACAAGTGCTAGAGAGGAGTGGAATAATGTCTCTCCGCAAGTAAGATTATTTTTTATAAAACTGGCGGAACTTGCTGCTAAATTGCACAAGGAAAAATATCCAAATTATGCCTACGCTCCAAAAAGAAAGGGGGGGAAAAATACCAACAGCAATAACAACAATAATAATGACGACGATTATTATTATGATGATGGTGATGATTATGATGATGATGATGATGATGATGATGATTATGACGATGATGATGATAATAGTAGTAATAATAATAATAATAATAATAATAATAATTATGACAACAACAACAATAATATCATTAATAGCAACAACAATAATGATAATAATAATAATAATGATGATGAAATTTACTACTATAACAACGAAAACGATAATAACAACAATAATAATACCTTTGGCGACATTGGTTATTCTACGGAAGAACAATTAAACCAAGTATATCAACAACAACTATTTCAAGAATTTTTGTTTTTTCAACAATTCCAAAATCCCAACATGAACCAATCTTTCGACCAATCACAACAATACCAACAAATTCAATATGCGCAACTTCAATGTATGCCAGATGTGATGATAACGTCACTCGAAGAATCTTTGATCCCTAATTCTGCTGTTGAAAGTTCCCCTACTTCAACAAACTTTTCAGAGTTGGAATCACCGGAGATTGAATATTACCAATTTTCAAGCATATACGATTCCCCACTATTTCCAGAGATCGAATTATCTCGATCTGTTTTCGATAACTATGAATCGAAATATTAAGTAATTTTTTATATTACCAAGAATCCCCTCTCACACTTACTTATATCATTACGTGTTTTTTTTTTTATATTTATATTTTAGCATTATAATATTTTATTTTTCAATATTATATTTTTATATTTTATTTTTCAATAATTATATTTTTATTTTTTATTTTTCAATAATTATATTTTTTATATTTATTTTTAATAATAATATTTTTATAATTATACACATAAGCTTTAAAGATTTTTAAAAACAAATTTAAGATTATATGATTTCTAAGCAAATTAAGATTTATAATGTATAAATAAATCAAATAATAAAATTTATTTTAAAAAAAAGATTGATAATAATTGATAGTAACAAAGAGTATAGCTGTACATTATCAAAATTTCTTCATTATCAAAAAACAACTAAAAATATTGCTCGGCCAAAACTAATTAAAAATTCATACTCGACTCAACACCACACAGCCAATTACCGAATCGTCATCGATATAATTAATTGATATTGACATTTTAATAAGATAAAGCGTTATTTAAAGGCATATTCCTATTGGAAAGTTTTTATTTAATATGAAAATATTTCAAATTACGAATCAATGAATATAAATGAATGAATTAAATTGAACAATGAATCACGTGGGATAATTAATGTTTTTGAAACAATTGCCCAATTTATACTATAAAGTCAATGGATCTCCTTATTAATATATAAACATAGTGGAGTAAGTAACAACGTATAAATAAATAAGTATAAAAAGTTTCAAAAAACTTGTTCTTTTTTTTCTCACTCAAAAAAAAAATCACTACTATCATCCATTTCCACTCGCTCACAACACTTTCATTTTGAAGTTAATTAGTCCGCGACTATTTAAAATTATCATCTATTATATTGCATATAATAGCACACACACACACATTCTTCTCCTACGTCTACCTACCTACACATATAATTCACTCACTTTTTTTTTAAAAAAAAAAAAAAATAATAAAAATGAGGATTTCAACAATTTTAATTTTTACAAGTTTACTTCTTACAACAGTAAAAGCTGGCGTTTTTACAACCTCGCCTTTTAGTAAAACAATATGGACTGCTGGGGCGACTGAAATCATCACATGGAAGGATGATGGTAAAAATCCCCCTATAAAAACTTTAAACAAGCTTCAAATTGATTTATTTAGTGGTAAATATTAATAATATTGGTTTATATATTAATAATTAATTTTTAATATTTTTAATTAACAGTTGATTGTTATTTTCTCCTTTAATAGGTAATGACACATCAATTCAAACTTTTGTTAGGAATGTTGCTAACGATGTTGACGCAAATACGGAAAAATTTACTTACGCAGTACCAAGTGATGTCGGGCCAGAAGGACAATAGTAAGTTAATAATTAATTGATCAATTTACACTTAAATTTTATTTGTAGCTTGTTTTTCTTTAAATAATAATAATAATATTTTATTCCTTCCACAAAAAAATTTAATAGTTTTTTAAAATATACACAAGGTACTTATGTAGAAACTTCAGGTGTATTTCAGATAATAAATTCAGCGAATGTATCAATTCCAGCTGCTGTTCCTGTTACTACTAGTACTAGTACTACTGGTACTACTGGTACTACTGGTATTGCTCCTGCCACTACTACTGGTACTAGTGCTACAGGTGCCAATATTAATACTGCTAGTGCTAGTAAACCAACACTAACTCCTACTCCTCTTAGTGGTGGTGGTAGTATATTTCATATAAATAATTTAACTTTAGGTAGTTTGATGATCTTAAGTACACTTGTATTGAAATATTTATAACAATATAATTATAACAATAATGACAATAATGGCTAGTTTGTAATTTTTAATAATAATAATAATAATTATAATTTTTAATAATAATAATAATAATTATAATAATAATAATAATAATATTTAATAATTCAATTCACATGGCAACATTTATCATGATAATTGCCCAAAAAAAAAATAAAATCACATGTTAAATTTTGATAATCCATTTAATTGATAATTGCTTATCGAGATTGAAGAACTTAACGTCTTGTGTTGTTGCTACTGATAACATTAATGGAAAATATACAATCATTATCATTATCATCATCATCATAGTAATCGTCGTCATCATTATTGTTGTTGTTGCTGTTTATATTTTTTTCATCTTTTCTTTTTGGAGCGTAGGCATAATTTGGGTATATTTCCTTATGTAATTTAGCAGCAAGTTCCGCCAGTTTTATAAAAAATAATCTTACTTGCGGAGAGACATTATTCCACTCCTCTCTAGCACTTGTTGAAATTTTACCGGCTGTACGATTGCTTTTTTTTTGATTTTTAAGGCCCTTGCTGTAATTTTTTCTGAAGAGCATGAATTCGTTTTGCGGCCTAGGAATATATATTTTTGCCGTTGGATCTTTTTGTGATTTGTTATATGATCGGCTTTTTGTAGATGGGGAAATAAGCTCCTCTATACTAGAAAAATGTATTTTATATGGTGGATTTTCTAACAACTTATCGTCGTCGATCCCCCCTTCGTTTAGAGAAAAGACTACGTTAAAATTATTATTGTCTTTATTATTAGTGGTGGTTGAAGGACGGTTGTTATAATGACTACCACTACGACCGCTTCTCTTCTCGAGAGCGAATTTCATCGTTACATAATTGTTTCTTCTCAACTTTGGCATGACTATGATTTAAATATTTCGATGTGTTTATGTAATGATAATGAGATGATACGATTATCGAGAAAATTTATTTGCTGTGTTTGTGATTTTTATAGTTTTGAAAAAAATAAGGAACAAAGGTGATTTTATACAAGGATTTTGGAGATTCATATTTAAAGGACTATTATGTAATTCATTTAATTCATCAATCAAGACACCCAACTTGTCGGTTGATGAAACAGCAGCTTGTAAACATCAAAGAAAATTCATCAATCCAAAATATTAATTCTTGTCATTATGACCGACCCACAACAGCTTGGATACTCTTGAGTTCGAATATGTTGAAGTTGTTCTCGAACTTGGTGTTGGAATATGTCTTTTGTTTGCATCCAATACGACATATTCTAAAGACTTGAAGTACTCCTTAATTTATCACGAGAAAAAGTTATTGGTGAAACTTTATTCTACCCATTTTTTTTATAACGATCAAAATTACTTTATTGTAAGAAAAATGAAGCATTTTTTACGTGTAGAAGAACTTTCATTGAGTATTGTTGGGATAACGTCGGAAAAAATCTAAATGTATCATGCAATGAATACACAACTAAGAAGAATCAGTTCACCGGTCAGCCAATAATTTTTACTGTAATAGGAATGAATTCCCAAATCGATATATTATTGTTTATTTAAAATTCTACCAGTGTAGATGGCATTTGGATGTAAAATAGTTGTTGCAATTGTTGAAGATAGATCAAATGGTGATATCTCATCCATTCCATCAAACTTTTTTCTCATAGATTTCTCTTCAACAAGTTTTGGTTTTTTAGGATCTGCATCCATACATTGATATGCCAATTTAATACAACTTCTAGAGTGTTGTTAGAAAATCCAGATCTTGCTTCTTTCACATATTGCAAGATTATTGTCATGTGAATATTATTAAAAGTTCATTGACCAAATTGATACCAATGACATTAACACTCTAAAACTGTATATGTCCGATTCCATCATATTTTTTTTTTATTTGATGAAGATAATGATTTTAATAATGTTTGGTTAGCTGGAATTGATAATCCTATATCCACAATCCATATTATTGTAGAATATTAGTACTCGAAATTATGAATGATATTTTTGTTGCATGTAAACCATGAATAACACTATAAAGAATTGATTGAGCTTTTATCTTCCAAAATAATTTTTAAATTCTCTTGATAAGTGAATACGAAGATTTCTTTCTTTTTTTACATATGTAATTAAGATTGTATATTAGTTATACCTTTTAAATTAAAGAAAAAAAGAAAGAGAAATAATTATAAATTATATATTAATATATTTATTTAAAAAATAAATAAACAAAATAAAATAAAATAAAATTGAGCATTTTTACCTCAATTAAAAAACTGCTATATAAACTACAGCTTTTTTTATTGTTATAATCTAAACGTTTGGAACCATTTATCCAACCACCTTCACCGATTTTTTCAACATTCGTTCGAAATAATTAATGTTGTTATAATTAGTTGTGTGCTTTTTAATTATTTTGCCTAAATTTTTCGTCTCCATATTAGTTCATCCTTGGGTGAACCACATCATTCATTGTTAGTATTATACACCATATATCATATATTTCTTTCTGGATTCTTGTATTCAATTAATTATTCATTGAATGAAAAGTATTCTAGTTGCTGAGGTTTGTTACATTTAAGTCTTTTATAAATAAAATTTGCAATTGCGAGGCGTTTGAATCATTTGAAAAATGATGGCGCCATCTTTTTGTTTTGTTCTCACGCTTCCAAAATTTGAGAGGAATTGAAACGATCAACCGAATTTTTAACGTAATAATAATGGTGACACCGAGGGGGTGGGGAGCCCAACTTCTAATTTCATTGATGTTAATGATCGATTACGTTACTCGTATAATTAAAATTAATAATAATAAAATTTTTTGTCAACAAACATGTCTGTAAACACTAAAGTACCACAGGTCGATTTACGATTCTATGAACGTTCGACCACTATAGCATACATTGATGCCATTAGACAATCTTTAATACACGATCTTGCATCTACCAACCCCAATTTCAAAACTGTCACTTCAAGGGAACTCTCAATATTCCTTGGCAGACTTCAAATATTCCAAGAGGAAAAGCTTGGAACAAAGTTAAATGTTCCTAAAAAATCCATGTTACCGACAAAAATACCCTCAAAATTATTCAAGGTTGAAGCAACGCTCACCAATGAATCACCCATATATTACCTTCTCCAATCAGCTTACATGTACAAAATTTCCAAAAAATGGAAAAAATGGAATTGGGATCACAATGTAAAGGACATGATCGAGATGGTTTCAATCGTTAGAAATTATTTAATAGAAAAAGGGATCATTAAAAACCCTGTTGTCATGTTTAATCAATCGCTTGTTGTAAAACGAATTAGAGAATTAAAAAAAATTGTTAAAAAATTGGGTGGTAAGTTGGATCTGCCTGCCTGCCTGCCTATATATTAATTTTTATTAAATCAATTTACATTAAAAATTTTTATATATAATGAATATAAATAAAAGGTCGAGTCACTGATAAATTGGATGAGGCTACTCATATAATTCATGAATCAAATGATAATGACTATCAGGATGAAGATTGGTTTAGAACATTAGAAAAGAAGGATGGAAAGGTACTAGTTCATTGGTGGTATTATCCTGACTCATATGATACTTGGGTTGAGGAAACTTCTGATCATGCTGATCCAGAACCACCACCAATAAATAATGGTCCTTGGAATGTTGGTGATCGTTGGATTACCGATAGCATTAAATTTAATGAATGGGTGAATGAAGAAGACTATGAATTGTCTAACTTGTATGAAATTGAAAATGAGTCTGATAAAGGGCAGGAAGATGAGGAGGAGGAGGTTGAGGTTGAAGATGAAGATGAGGTTGAAAGTGTAAAAATGAGTCAAGAATCAAGGGGAAATATGAATGAAGAAGAGGATGAAGAAGGCGTCGTTGTTGATGATGATATTAATGATGATGCTGTTTCTGATAATATGATAAAGAAAGATGATGATGATGAAGAGGAGGCACAAGAAGCTAATGATGATAACAATATTGTAGTTCAATATGAAGATGATGATGATGATGATGATAATGTTATGGACATTGACAATAATTATAAAAACGAAGAGAAATCTCACATTCAAGAATTACTTAGAACATTTCAACAACAAAAAAAACATAAATTAGATGATGAGGTTCAAGAAACTAGCACCATCAATAAAACAGAAGCTATTCAACCAGTGCCATCTTCAAAACGTCCTAGAATAAGATCACCCGAACCTAAAACCATATCTAAAATATCGTTTATTGACATTGAAGAAGAAGCATTATCTCTAGATTTATCTCGCCAGAAAAGAAATGAACTTGACCCAATTCTGAATGGAGATGTTGGAAATATTTCATATACATTTGTTGATAATAAAACAGAACATGTGATATATGGTATGTTGATTTTAAAATCTTTTTTTTTCGTAAACCGTGATTATCGATTCATTATATATAAATTTTGGTCAAAGAACAACATTCGCATAATATTGATGACAAGTTACAAAATTCCATTAAAATAACAGAAATAAACAATACTGAAAATAGCGAAAAGACAAATTTAACTCAAGGTGAAGAAGCCATGAAGAAGCTTTACGAAGAAGCTCGTGAAATTTTATCAGAGTATAAACGTGAAGTCATAGTACCTTCATATTCAGAATGGTTCGACTCCAACAAAATTCACGATATTGAAAAGGATGCTATGATGGAATTCTTTAACAATAAAAATAAAACAAAAACTTCCGAAACATACAAGAAATCCAGAGATTTTATGATTAATACCTATCACCTTAACCCTAGAGAATATTTAACGATTACTACGTGTTGTAAAAACTTACCAATCGATGTTCGTGAAATAATTCATTTGCATGCTTTTTTGGAACAATGGGGATTGATTAATTATCAGGTAATCCTATAAAATTTATTTATTAGATTAATCTAAATCATTAATATTGGAATTAAAATGAAATTATTTCTTTGTAGGTTGATTCAAGCGCATCAAGTTTATCTATTAGACCTTTATTTACCAAAAATTTCAATATTAAAACCGACACACCTAATAACGGTCTTCAGGACGCGATTACTCAAGACCTATCAAATGGCAGAAAAACTATTGGAATTTCAGATTCGCCTTGCAATTCCAACATATTCTCAATTGCTCAAAACATTTATCAACCCAAAATTAATATTACTGAAACAAAGAATATATTTGATAAAGGAAAGAAACCAAAAATTCATACTGATGAACAAAAATCAACTAGGTGTTCTGTTTGTTCAACGAATTTTACAGATGTTAGATATCATTCTTTGAAAGAACAAGAGTTTGAATTGTGTTCTGATTGCTACTTAGAAGGACGTTATCCTGTAACAATGTTTAGTGGTGATTTTGTAAGACTTGAGGATCTTGAATTCAGTAAATACAAAGATAATGATTGGACAGTTGGCGAAACTTTATCTCTTATTGAAGGCGTAGAGTTGTTTGGAGATGATTGGAATATGGTATCAATGCATGTTCATACACGATCAAAAGAACAATGTATCTCTCACTTTCTTGAACTGCCAATTGAGGATCCATTCAAGTTTACTAAAGATCCAAACACACAATCTTCATCTTCACATGATTACACACCATTCATTCAAACAGATAATCCAATAATGACCATGGTAACAACGTTGGCTTCAGCAGTTAATCCCGGTGTAGCAGCAGCAGCAGCAAAATCTTCAATAAAAGATCTGAACTTGTATATGAAATTGCCAGACAATGAAGAGTCAAGTGCCATTGATAACATCAATACTGCTGATAATTCATTAAAACTGCCTTTAGATAATAATAAATCAGACGACACTGATAATTCTGAGGAACAAAGGGGCATAGCAGAGAAAGTAATCAAAAATGCATTTGATTCTGCAGCCGCCAAGGCTATGTCGTTGGCCGAATATGAAGAGAGAGAAATTTATCGTCTAATTAATGCAATAATTGATAGTCAACACAGAAAACTTGAACTTAAACTTCAGCAAATTCAAGAATTGGACAGTTTTGTTGAAGCAGAGAAAAGGGAAATTCAGCGACATATAAATTCTTTGACTTATGAGCAAAATCAATACCAAAAAGAGGTACTCACACTGAGAGAACAATTTAATACAAGTAATAACAATATCATGAGTAACAACTAGGGATGTTAAATATTCCGTCAGGACTGGTCCAAGTCCATCCTGTTTAAGAACATGCCAAACTGTTGGCTGATGAGCCATAGTATAAGACCGTGGTCTTTATATTAATTCAAATTATTGTAATTCTTTGTTAAAAAAAATTATTCTACCAAAAATAATAAAAAATGTACATTTACTAATATATATATAAAATTTAACTTTTTTATTAATATAATAAATTTCTCTATAATAAATCAATTGGGGCATACCAGACAAAGTGAACATTGGTATTACTATATATGGGTGTCTAAACTAAATTATTTAGACAATGTCTAAAATATAAATTAATTTAGACATTTAGACAATCATGGTCTCAATTGTCTAAAATGCTGAAATTGAATTTTTTATTGGATAATTTACTGAACTTTGTGGATTTTGTGTATATACACGTGACTTTTAGTTGTATTTAAAGCAAATCATTACTATTTATATTAATTTAGACATTTAGACAAAAATGTCTAAATATATATATACGAACATTAAGTAACTATTTGGATTAAAAGAGTTCAAATATAATAATAATAATTAATTGTCTACTAATACTAATACCAAAGGAATACATGCAATATAATTAGATAGCTTTTATATATATATATGTTTAGAAACTATTATGAAAAATTTTTACATGATCATAAAAAAAAATCTATTAATTTGTAAAATAACAACTCTTCTTGATCTAATAACAATATTGTATATATGAATTTTCTCAAAAATTAATCTATTAAGATATGTTATATAAGAAATATTTAATTTTTCTTTACTATTTTATAAACCTCGAATTCCTCTAACAAATGAACCCTTTTATGATTATTTCTAAGGTTCAGATTATTTTCATAAATATTTCTATGACAATAATAACAATAAGGTTTATTATCAATGGTGTTTAATAGTCGTAAATCATCAAAATTTATAAAATCTTCATGAAATTTTATACTATTTTCAGTAATATCAAGATTTTGTTCATTATGAAGCATTGCAAATTTAGGATCTTCAACTCTACTTAATATCGAATTATTTATTTCATCTTCATCTATTTTAAAAATAAAACTTTCATCTGTTTCAAACCAATAGTCTTTACCTGATACTTTTTCATCATCATTCCAAAAAATTGGGTTATAGCCACCAATCAATTCACCTGTATCTTTGATTTTCATAACAGCTACAGTTTGTTCAATGTCATAACATTTATTCACGAAAACTGATCTTGAAAAACCATGCTTGGTAGCACTTAAAATTAATTCAAATTCATATGGTAAATTATTTACATTGTAAAGACCATTTTTGTGATCAATCCAACTAGCAATTAAGAATTTCATTTTTAGATTTAACAAATTTCCATTTCTAGTTCTTGGACCTGCTTGAAGAGATGATTTTGGTTGACATTCATCACCATTACGATAATATTGAAGTATTTCTTCATATAATTCTTTATTAATAACTTTCTTGTAAGGTTCAATTTTTTTATAAAAATCTGTAGGTATAATTTCAGTGAATCTGATTAATGGAATGATATCATCTAATACATCTCTCATCCTTTTGAAATCATCATCACTCCATTCTGAAATTTTTTTTTCTTCCAATTCTTCTTCACTTTGTCCTATTCCCCATCTAATGATAGAATCCCAAATATCAATTTCATTCGATTTTAAATCATTTTTTTCTAACAAAGATATAAGCATTGGTTTTTCAATAACTCCAATGTCTTCAGATTTTAAAAATACATCTGGATCTTCACAAATTATTTCACTAAAATAGTCACGAAGTAAACTAAATGAATGATGTTTTGATGAAACCCCATAAACATAAATCAGATTTTGTTGAATCCATTCTGTTTTTTCAGTGATTAAATGATTCTCTAGATCCTCAATTAATTCATTAAAATTTAATTCATCACATGCTTCAAGAAGTTCAAGAATTTCATTTGAATTCAAATTATCTACATTAATAGTTCCATTGTAAATATATCTTTTAAAAATAAAATTAAATGGATTAATAAGATTAAATGTTGTTTTAAATATATAATGCATATATGAGGCTTTTGAATAAAAACGAACCATACTCCTAAAATGATATTTTGAGAAAAAAATCTGCATTAGGGAATTTGCTATTATTTTCGAATCTTCAAGGGAAGAGACTTCAAAATTCTACTATGCAAAGTGAATATAGTTTCTAAGCTAAAAATTCTCTACATACAGAGGAACTGTATGAACTCAAGTATACATTTGGGAGTATGGTTCGTTTCTATTCAAAAGCCACACACATTTAATCTTTTTTTTTAAAAAAAACCACAAATTGAATTAATCTTACGTTAAAAGAACTTCAAATATATTTGGAGCAATATTATTTTTTTCGAATAAAATAATACCATCTTCAGATTTTTTGATCCAAGTATTTGATAAAGCCGCATTAAAATACAAAGATCTTGCTTTTAGAATGGCAGAATGAACTTTAAAAGTTTTAACAACACCTTGGGCTCCTCCAACTTTAATTTCTACATCATAGAAGTCACATTCCAATAATTTTGCTATATCATTTACAAGCTTACTAATATATTTTAATGGTGCCGCATGTTCATCATGATTGATTGCATTCTCAAATAATGAGTTAATGTTTTCTAGGGATGAAAAATTAATAGACATTTTGCTTGAAGTTATTAATTATATAATAATGTAAAATGATAATGTAAAAAAATAATATTAAAACGATAATTTTATTTGGTGGGCAACAATTTGTGTAATATTATTAAATAACAAACATATTAATATTAATTTAACACAAGAAAAGAATTACAGTAATACTTTTTTTTTCTAAATTTGATAAAATCATTTGGTTGATATTGCTATTTTTGAAATTTAACACATGGCGCAGCAATAGGACGCGCCAACCATCCTTTGTATGGTAGATCGTCTGGAATCTCTTCAAACCAATAATTTCTTCTTTAATCAATTAATCAATTAATCACGATCTTTTTTCAAATGTCCCTGCTTTCGGCAATGATCGTAGTAAAGTTGTCTTCGAAACACAATTCTTCAACTAATCCTTGAATTTTACAATCCCGCAGGAATAACAATGCTCGTTTTAACGTTTCATGTAACATCTGTTGTGGCTTTATCTATTTGAACTCAAATAATGACAATAGTTATCCATTATTTACAAACTATGCATTAAAATATTATACATTAATATCAACAATATAATTGTAATAGTAAATATATGTGTATCATGATATTATGTGTATTATTTAATATTATATTCATACTTTCATTTCTTATTGTATTTATTTATATAACTAGTGTTGTCAACAGAGGAAACAACTATAGAGAGGTTAAGTGGAGATGACTCCATTGTTTTAAATTGCTTCATCCAATCATTAAACCATTATTTATTGACAATAGTGTTAGACTAAACCGTGCAACTAGTGGTACAAAAATGAGGCCTGATGTTTCATGCCTAGTTGATAAAATAGCAATACTAAATTCTGAGATAAAACCTCTTGGTTTTACTCCATTTCAACAATTGAAAGACAAAATAAAAGTACAAATAAGAGCACGCGAGTCAATAAATCAAATGTCAGAGGCAAGAGAAGGACCACTAGAAGCAACATTTTTTACAGATGCAAGTATGTAACGAATAAAATTTGATTTCAATCCAATTAATTTAAGTACATCATTAAAACTATAGGTTTTCAGGTGACTTATATAGTTGAATCTTTCTGCATGAATTTTAAAGTTTGATGGGCTTTACCGATCGTGGCATTTTCTAACCACCCAGCTAGTAAAAGATAGAACTACCATTCCCTTGTTGGAATCAATTTTTAATTTTGATGGATTGAATGAAGGAAAATTATTACATAAATTAGCTTATGTATTCACATGTGCTAATAATACATTGATCCTGTGCGAGGATGATGAAATATCAACACAAAGTTTTGCACAATTTAGAGATGATTTAATTGAGGCATTTTATAACTGTGAATGATTCAGTGAAATTTGCGACATTTTATTGCACTTAAGGTGTATTATATACAACATATTTCATTTAGATGTTTGTGATGAAAACAAATTACCTACAATTTCATTTGTATCTTGCATTGATAGAGATGTGGTTTAATATAATCATTAATAGAAGTTGATACATTTTCTTGATTGGCATTCACAGACTCATCTCATACTGCTTCAAGTTCGTTGGGATCCTTATGCCATAAATCTTGAGTGCTCATTTCTGAAATTATTTCTTCGGTTGTAGTTTCATTAGACACGTTGTAAGAATTTCAGAAAATTATAATTATCGAACAGTGTTATTAACATGTAAATTTACTCAAGTTCCGAAAATTATTATTAAATCCATGATTGTTTATACAACAATAATCTATATTAAAAGTGCTAAAATCTTTAATAAGTGCTGAATGGTCTAAAATAAAATTTACTAGACTATTTCTTAAATTATTTAATCCGAGAGTTTTTTACTAGCTTTTGAAAATGATAACTGTTGATAAGATGGAGTGGTGTTTTTATATCTCCTTTACAATTAAGTTATATGAGAACATTTCCAAATAGTCTCCAGATTAATGAAATCATTAAATATATTCTCTTTCTCCACATCCCACATTGTTTATATGGTTAATTATAAATATTAATATCAATTTTAATTTCATAGTTATATTCTATATATTTGGAATATTTTATATATTATTTAGTTTAGTCAATTAAAATTAATAAATAATTTAATTTTGTGAATGTTCACTTTGTCTATTAATCCAAAAAGGTGTTAAACATACATACGCAGTATTTTACGGATAGTATGCTGCTTTTAAAAAGAAAATAGAATCATATATGGTTTCAAATAAATGTTTTTCAATCATGTCGATCATATCTTGTTTCAACGGATTAATACGTTTCTGCTGGGATTCGACTAGCTACCGGATTACGCTTCCTGAGTGACGATGGAATACATTTGTCAAACCAAGCAATCCTATTCCCTTACAGTCAGTATGAGTCATCGTGTATACAATTTCTTTTATCTCGAGCTTAATTCCAATCCTTTATACCATGTATAGACAGATAGCACATGCAATCTTAGGGGGAAATCCGCAGTCCTATTATGATAACACTAAATTCATATATGTAAAAAAAAAATTTTTTCTTTATATTCATGTACGTCAGATTAGAGATTCTATTCGAATAAGATTTATTCGGATGTTTGTTTTATTCATTACGAATTTGAGCATTCGAATTATATTGAAAGTTTATTTAGAACCAAACGGATAATTCAAATTAAGATGAATTTTAAATGAACTTTAATGGGTTCGTAATGCTTAATGATTCCAATTTCTCCATATAAAATGAATGGTGTAATCATTCCAAAGCATAAATTCATGATCAACCCAAGAACAAAGCCTATATAAGTACCAGTTTGTTTTCAAAAAGTCTTTCCTTGTATAAAAAAATTGTAAAATTGATTTTGTTAATGACTATTAAAAAAATCCACTATAAATAAATAGATACTGATAATCTCATCAACTCACTTATTTTCATTTTATATAAAAATAACATTTTAAAAAAATGCTTGCCTTTGTAAGTGAATTTCTTTTATGGATTGTTGGTTGATTGAGCTTTTGCGTCAATATAAACCAGCTTTATATATAGAATGAACCAAAAATTTGATGAAATAATTTGTACAACAGAATCTGGAAGAACTAAACAAAAATAAAGGCATAAGCTGATTAGTAATCAAGAACATTAGGAAGAAATTAAAAGAAATTAAATAAGGAAAAAGTTGAGCAGAACTTAGCCATTTAGAGCATAGGAAAATCTAGACAAATTGCTATCATTGACAACATTGCTAATAACATCACCAAAACCAACTACAAAATCATAACTGCTGAAATCATCACTGAATCATAAAAACCTCAAAAAACATTATTGTCTTATTGACATCAATAAAATGTGATCTGCATTGTAAATTTAACTGAGATCTATTGATAATAAAAAATAAAATGACCAATAAAAATAAGAATGCATTAATAAAATCATGATCTTATTTTCTTTGATAAAAATAATTATTTTACAAAAAACCACCTTTCCTTTTCTTGCATTGACAAAAGAGATGATAAAGTAATGTATTGGAAGATAGAATAGAATGATAACAACATTAAAATCAGTTCTGGCTTTAATATCTATGTTATTTTCAACATAGATGTCAATAACTTTTAACCTTGACTGTATTACTCAATTGACATTTAATTTTGAAATACAATTTTTTAGGCTCATCATTTTATTATCCTGCACCCACCTTGTTTTATATGTTTATTAAAAGAGAGCTTGCTTTTTCTAAAGGCATATCAGCTCTTTGTTGTGCCTTTTAATTGTTTCTTTTTTTTTTTTTTTTGCCACGACTAAGTAATTACTAAACAAAAGACCATCATCAACCCTAGTGACCGGGACTTCCAGTCACTTTTCCCTCATTCAATTGACAAAAATTGTGACACGCCCGTTACGAATATAAAATGACATCACATTTACTTCTAAATTTGCTATTTCGGCGGCTTTCTGTTTAACTTCGGAGATCACCGATTAATATTTTCGGACGATCTTTACTAAATGTTAACAATATCAGCATTAAATTTCGGACTACTGAAACGCATTATCATACTAATACTATTTAATTTAGTGGATGATAAAAAAAGCGATAAGACAGAATTTTAGTGCTTACTTCGACATTCACATGCGTTAATTTCACTTAAAATAAACCTTATCGATATAAATAATATAAATAAATATAATAATTAAATTAATTAATATTAATTAACAAATAGTGCACACAATATTGTATTAAATTTGATTGGTTTAGGTGTGTTAGAACAGACTAAAAATTTTGAACTGGTCCGGTCCTTAAGAACAGGTCTTTAGGCCCGGATCAATGGACTTTTCCCCTAGTTATCATTCAAGAGAAGATTCTGACAACGATTATTTACCAGCTAGTGATTCTGACTCTGATACACGTTCTCCAAAACGCCTTCGCATAGACACACTTGAACGTGAAATAAATATGAGGGTTGGTCAAACTGGAAATGGAATAGGAGGAGAAAGTACAACAAATGGAAGATCTTCAACTAATACTAACGGCAATGTGCAATCTTCAACTAATGGCCAATTTTCGACTAATAATGGTCTGCAAGGAACTCGAAGACGTGAGATCGTCAGGCTAATGGTGCAAGCAATGCAAGATATGGGTTATAAGTATGTTGTTATTCTTTTGAATTTTCGAATTTTTAAAAACTACTATATTTTGTTGAAATCCTTCCAATTTTTATTAAAACTCCAAAATGTTGCTTAGTCAAGCCGCCACAACCTTAGAAAATGAGTCTGGTTTCCCACTTGAAAGTAAAGATGTTGCAAGATTTAAAGATGGTGTTTTAAATGGTGACTGGACCTTAGTAGAAAGTCTTCTTCCAATTTTAGAATTGGATAATAGTAAAGATGCTGTGGTAATTAAATAATTAATAATACATACAGATTACAATTTAATGATTGATTTAATAATATAATAAATACTATTATCATAATTGTCATTATTGTTTATAGAATTTTACAAAAAATTGTTTTTTCTTTTAGGTTGTAAAATTTTTGATTCGAGAACAAAAATTTTTTGAATTATTAGAATCTAGTCAGTTAAAAAAAGCTCTGCACGTATTAAGAACTGAACTTACACCACTTGATTTTAATTTGGACAGGGTTCATGTTTTATCTAGGTATTTGTAGTCAGTCAATTTATTAATCTGTTATTTTATTTTTTCTAAAAAAAATTCAATCAACACATCTATTTCTTTCAACTTGAAATGTAGTTACATTATGTATTCAAATGCTGAAGATTTAAGATTTCATTCTGAATGGGATGGTGCTAAAGGAACATCGCGTCAAAAATTATTGCTAGAACTTCAAAGTATGAGTTAATCAATCATAATTAACAAATTAAAAATTCCTTTTTATAGATGCGAAGATAAGGAGATGATTAATATTTGCTCGCCCTATATTTATATATATATATTTATATATATTTATTTATTTACATTTGTTTTTACATAATAAGGATACATTTCACCCTCAATTATGGTTCCTGAACATCGTTTAGAAACATTATTAGAACAATCCATAACTCTACAACGTATATCATGTCTTTATCATAATACAGATCAATATATATCTTTATATTCTGATCACGCCTGTGACAGGTTAGTATGATTTATTTGTTTATTTATTTATTATTCCTTAATTAATTTATTGGTTTTTATTCTATTTATTTAGATCACAGTTTCCTTCGGTTACGACTCATATTTTTAATCATCATACTGATGAAGTTTGGTATGTAGCATTTTCGAACAATGGAAAATTTTTAGCTTCAGCTTCAAGGGATAAAACTGCTATCATATGGAGTCTTGAGGTAATTCAATAATATAATAACATATATATATATATATCACTAGCATATTATTATAAAATTTTATTATTAAATATATTATTTATTATTTTAAAATAATATCAATAGACTTTGGATGTTGTTCATATTCTAAGAGAACATACAGATTGTGTTTCATTTTTATCTTGGTCTCCAGATGATTCAAATTTATTAACATGTGGACAAGACAACAAATTGAAACTTTGGAATGTTGAGGTATTTTTATTTACATTTATTTAGATTTAGATATATTATTTTCAAAAATAGTAGTAAATTATTATTGTATTTCTATAAATCTTTTTTAATAGTCAGGTGAATGTCTTAAAACAATGCACAACCATGTTGATCCTGTAACTACATGTGCATGGTTACCAGATGGTAAAAGTTTTATATCTGGTAGCCAAGATAAAAATACTTATTTATGGGTAATTTATTTAAATATATTTAAAAAGAAAAAATTGACTCTTAAAAAAGATTAAATGGATAATAACAATAACAATATAATATTTTTAATTAATTAATATATATATATATATATATATATAGAATTTGGATGGAACAGTTTTATATGGATGGAGTGGAGTTAGGATAATGGATTTAGCAATAAATAAAGATGGAACGAGAATGGTTGCAATATGTCATGACAAGAAGATCCACATATATGACCTTGTTTCAAAGAAGGAAGAAGTGTATGCAAAAAAGTTTTGTAAAAAATTTTAAAAGTAAAATATTTTCGATTATATTTTTAATTAATATATACATATATATATAGGACTATGGGAGAAAGTGCCAATGTCACTTCGATTTGTTTATCAAATGATTGTAGATACGCGCTAGTTAATCTTTCAACAGAAGTAAAAAAAAAAATATCATTATATTTATCTTTATCTTCATAACATATATCTCATTTGATTTTTTTTACTAACCAAACTTTTCTTTATATCTCAAATAAAGAAAATTCATTTATGGGACATTGAAGAAAATCGTTTGGTTAGGAAGTATTATGGACAGAAGCAAGGCAAATTTGTTATCAGATCTTGTTTTGGAGGAATAGATCAAGGATTTATTGTTAGCGGAAGTGAAGGTTTTGTATCAACTCAACATATATTTACATACATACAGTTGTTATTTTGATTTATTATAATATAACGAACAAATAATTTTTGTTCAAATTTTGTTTATCAGACTCAAAAATATATGTTTGGCATCGAGAACACGCTACATTAATAGAAGCATTGCCAGGTCATAATGGAACTGTAAACAGTGTCAATTGGAGCCCAGTGAATCCTTACATGTTTGCTTCAGCTGGAGACGATCATACTATTAGAATGTAAGATTTTTTATTTTTTTAATATCCATATAGATTATTTATACAATAACGATCATTAATATAAAATAAAAATATAGATGGGGTACACCAAATGCAGCAGGCTATAAAGGCAAAATGAAGACGCCATGACTTTTTATTTATTTTTTATTTAGTTACAAATATGTATATATTTATATTCACAAACACACATATATAAGAAACTATATTAATATATTAATAATATTCTCATTCGCTTTTGCTTTATTAAAAATTAAAGCACTAAACAGCACCAATAGCAATTTAATAGATTATCATTATTATTAATCATAATAATAATATTGCTGACAATTTTTTTTTTTCTCTTTTTAAAAAATATTTAAATAAAAACACAATCTAATTTTCTATTGCTTTTTTTTTAATTCTCTTTTCCTCCTCTTTATAAATTTCTTTTTGATAAAATATCTATCTATTAAAAAATAAAATTGTTTTTCTAAAAAAAAAATCGATCACATCAACAAAAAACAATAGTAATAATTCATACGCGCGTGATGTATAGTAATTAGTGTATGATGCGTTTATCAATCAAAACAATATTTTTATTTTTAAAATGAGATAAAAAAGAACTCAACAAACTGACATCAAAGGCTCATTCACGCAATTGTTATTCATTAAAAAGAATGATAGTGGTTGTGATCGCTGCCACTCCGTCATTCTAGAAATATTAATAAACTTTGTAAATTAATTGTATTCTTTTGAAATATACAGGACCAATCTTTTGCTTTTAGTAAACTGAGACTTTAATAATGTTCTTTAATCCCAAGCAGGACAAGAAGCTATATTGACTTGGCATTAAAAAGGTTTTTAGATGTCTTAAAAATGACGATGATGGTAAGCATCAATTAAATAAATGCATTTCAGAATGACTGTATCAATTATAGTTAATCAATCGCCACTATCATCACAATTACCACCACAATCAGGTTTGAACAATTTCAAGATCTTTGTGTTTAAAAAACATTATATTTTTCTTTTGATTGACTAAAACAAGTTGGTAAAACCAGAAAACCTTATCATCGTTATAGGAGGGCCCCGCAAACTTCATAGATAAGTCACTGCCGCAGCTGGGTCATATAAATCAAATCTTTTGTCAGTAATTATAATAGGGTCAAATTATTTATAAATTTAAAATTTTATGAACGTAACAAAATTAATCCATCTTCGTGAAGAATGATCTTAAAGCATTTAAAACATTATTATTATTCTGCTATATAAAGATATAAAATATATCTTAAATACAATGAATTTTTGATTTGTGTTTTGATGGATCTATATTTTTGCCCATAATAACATAAATGAATGATTCAACAAATTATCAGTGATTTATTGCACGGATTCTCCAAGAATCTTTGTAATTTAATTAATTCAGAATAATTATTTTTTCTAACCATTAAATTTATACAGCGTGGAATGGCGACGAACTGCTATAGTTTCATACAACATAGGATGGAGACGAATTGCTATAGCTTCGTACAGGAATTGGTATTGATATTGACAGAAAGAGTTGAAAACGATTTGTGAAATATTAATATAAAATTACTGAAAGGTTAAACAGAAGATTCAGATGTTTTGACAACTCAAGGTTAAAAAGTCAAATAATCAGGAAGAAACTTTCAACAAAAATGGTTAATGTTAAAATATGAATCGCCAAAGGAATCTTTAATGTTTTATGGTGAATCAAATTAATTTCAATTTATGGAAACGGTATTTATTTTTGTTGCTGTTGAGAAGAGTAAGTTAGTTTTAAAACTGTCGCATGTTCAAATTATCAACATTTAGTTATAGATGATTAACTTCCTTCCTTTATTATGTGATATATTAAAATGGATTTTAATTTACGTAATGCAATAATAATAAGAAGGGTGGGAAGTTTCATTCCGATTAACCGGGACAAAAATGTGTAAAAATCGACGAATTGAAATGTTTCTCTCCAATATAACATGACAAAAATATAAAAAAAAACAAATTTTACTATCGGATTTTTGAAATTTTTTGTGTAATTTATGATACAAATTTAGGACTGATCTACTGTTTCGACCAATCAATTAACAGATTCGTCGGCCTAATTTTCAAACAAAAATGAGACTTTTTATTAATAAATATTAACCCCGTTTTTTATTATTAAAAAAATGTATATACCGATTATCACGTATCACGAATTAAATGCTATATATAATGTTATAATATATGTGCACATACACACTAAATGTAAACATTTAATTAAAAATCAAAATTAGTGTCACATGAATTTTTGCATGAATGAATTTAAAAGTTCATTAAAAGTAGGGGGGAAAATATATATGTAAAGATAAATATTTAGCACAAATGAAAATGAAGATTCCAAAGCGCTATTTTTTCATTTCTAATTTTCTCTTCCCATCCATCAACATCTAATTATTCCAATTTGATATGTTTAAATTCCATCTTTAATTTTAAAGATCTTAACCAGTATGACAATCTAAGTTCCTTTGCTCTGAAATAAAACAAATCTGATTTTGTGATAGTATTGTCATCATTATCATTATTTTCAATATGTGATTTTTTCAGATCGTTCTTCTTCGAAATTTGTCTGACGGCTTTGGGATTTGAATGTTTTAAAATTACTTTTTTAAGTTCTTTTAAAAGTTTTTCTAAAGATCTGTAAAAATGGATGTAATCTTGTTTTTTAATAATTTTTGGTTTGATGAGCGAACGTGAGAAATTTGATGGCGTGTTTAAATAAGTTTGGATTGTTGCATCCATTTGTTTTATTTCATTTATAAGCCTGGTTTTGTTCATCTTTGAGTATTTGGATAATTTATTTCTTTGCGTTTGTTTATACAATGTGTTAAATGTATGTTTAAAATCTGTTTAAAAGGGTTTTTGTAATTAATATATTATATTACGGTATTAAGTTTATTTTTTAAATTTATTAATTTGAATTTTTCTAAATTAAAAAAAAAACCAAAAACGAAAAAGGGATAAAAAATTATTATTGTCAATATATAACACAAATAAAATATGTTATACAAAATTCTTGTTGTACACGTGGATAGTGATGTGATTTTTATCAAAAACGGCATACCGCACAATATAATAATAAATGAACTACGACACCGTTGATAAAAAAATTACGTAACCCTCCGAGTTGTCCGCCTCATTGCAAAATCCTTTTTCAGAACCTATCCAATCATGTGGCGATAAAAAATTGATGTGTAGGAAAAAAAACTTGTAGTCACTTATAAAATATATAACAAATATAATAAAGCCATAACACAATAATAATATTGTAGTAAAAAAAAAATTTTTTTTTGACACTTTACTTAAAATATTTAATTAATACAGGGTTGGGGATCGTACACGTATCGTACACGTACATACGTATGGAGCTTAAATTTTTTAAGTGCATTGTACGAACATATCATGTGATTTATGATGTTTTTTATTGGTTGATCAAATGTAATATATACATAGGCAACCCCGTTAAACCGAAGGCAATTGTGCAGGGACTTTTCTTCGGATTAACGGGGTTTCGGATTAACGGGGTTTTTTTATAATCCGAAGTTATTATTAGAGTCATAAATTAATTCGGATAAACGGGGTAGTAAATTTAAAAATTTAGAATTTCCTT